GGGACATGAGAGAAGCCTCCTCGCAGGATTGCAAGACATCCGGGCGTCCCCTGGGCAACGTCTTCATAGACGCTGATTCTCTCGCCTCAGAAGCAACCAGAAACCAGAATGGTAACAACCCTCTTTTTAATACTCTTATGTCTAAAGTAAAAAGGTCAAAAAGTTACAGGAGACAAAAGAAACATCTTATTTGATATATGGCATTTTCTGGAACAATCACCCCTGCAGAAACATCAAACAACAAACAAGCCACACTTGTCCTTTTCATTGTTGTATCTTTAGAAAAGTGGCATATTTATACAGAGTTTGAAACTACTACCCCACCTGCCACTCCATGCAGTAATGTGTTGGTATAATTGTTACACTGCGTATTGTGCCCTGCATTCAGAGTAATTTCCCCCTTCAAAAGAGATGCCTTCCCCCTCTTCCTCATGCTGTTACTGTTAGTCATGTTAAGCTTCAAAGCCCAGAGATTTGTGGAGTGCAATATCCATCACTGCATCTAAAAGTGTACTGCATTATTAGCCAAATGACAGCAGGATCAAAGCATGTAAAGATTTCAAAGTATGTTGAAAGGTATATTGTTGAAATTCTGGAGTAGATTATGTGGCTTCTATTATTCTCGTTTTAATAGTGTGCTTTTATAAATCTTTTGGGAGAGCTCTTTATGATACATTCATAGGATGCATACCGCAAAAGGCAGCAGGATTTTGGCAAATTTATTTCTATCGGCTGTACTTGAAGTTCAAATGTGCTCCCCATATGACAGGATTCATTGTGTTTATACTTGTAAAAAGTTAGAAGTTCAGTGACAGTACAATATACATGTGCAAGTCCTGCTGCACGTGGAAGCAGTTTTATGAAGTTATTTTTCTTCCTTATAGTTCCACTTATTTAAGACGCATCTTAAACATGAAGGACTGTAAACCACAACTTTGGAATTTTACCAAAAGAGCAGGTAAAGAAACAGGCTGTATGAAAGCAGATGTGCTCATCAATCTGAACGACAATAGAGGAGGCCAAAGAATATAACTTCTCACGAATGGGATCAGGAATGAAATGAGTGAGATATTCCTGTCTTTCAAGGAAATTACTAGTTTTAATCAAGTGAGGCAAAACAGCAAATGAAACTGAATTAAAAGCTCTATTATTGCCAGCATTCCTGCTGCAAAGAGGAGGAATGCTGGCAATAATACACAGATTGTCCAGGACCTCTACCAATACATTATTTACAGAGAGGAGCCCCAGGTGTGGCAACCCAGAGCAAGAAACTGGACCCTCAGACCACCATCCACCACACTTGACTTCAGGAAAACAATCCTTTTTTATTGATGAAAGATGACTACAAAATAGAGGAAAAAATGCCAAGGTAAAAAGTCACAGTAAAAATCAGCAACAAGAAATGTCCATAAACAAGATCATAAAATCCACAGCAAAACTGCTGAATCCTGGAGCCTGTTAGTAATCCACTAACCGTACTTGGAACAACTAGAAATCCTCCGAGGAACAAGGCCACTTGAATCAGGAGACCTGCAAAAGCTTGCACATGAATCTGGAACGATGCCTGGTCTGAAGCTGCATTCAGGCCAGGCATACTTAAGGCCAAGAAATCTATTGCGAGACACGCCTGAAGTTTTTGTTTGCATTTCTCTCAATCTGGCTGACCTACGTAAACTTTGTGCTTCTCCCCGGCTCTGCCAAATCTGCCCCCGCCTATCCTCATTAGGCAGACCAGGTGTCAGATTCTCTGGAGAACTAAGGCTGGGAGGAAAAGGGAGTGAAACTTCTCCGCTCGGCTCGGAATGCATGTTCTCATGGGAATTTTGACTTTCACTTTCCAAGGTTGTAGGATTTTCACTACTCAAACCATCATCATCTAAATTGGCCTCAGAATTCACATTGACATCTACACTGGCATCAGGGAATACAATCAGAGAATCAGGTTCAGGTTCACACACAGGCTGAACCCCAACACCGGGTGGCTCAGTGGGTTGAATCCTTGTGCTGGCAGGACTGCTGACTGACAGGTAAGTGGTTCAAATCTGAGGAGCGCAGGTTGAGCTCCCTCCGTCAGCTCCAGCTCCCCACAAGGATGGTAAAACATTAAACATCTGGGCATCCCCTGGGCAACTGTTGTGACTCGGCTGGAACCACAGACACAGACTGATAGTGTTGTGACTCAGATGGGGTCTCAGAGTGACTCTGACGAGGATGATGGGATTCAGGTTCACGATCAGGTTCATTCCTGTTGTAGATAATGAGGAACAGGGTGTGCAAATTCAGTTTCCCACAGCAGGGAATGATGTTTTTGGTACTGAAACTAGCCAGGTGCAAATTGACTCAGAAAAGGAGAACGGTTCTCAGCCTGATAGTAGGCAGGAAGGCAACCAGGCTGACACGAACGAGCAGCCTGACCTTGATGAAACAGGAATCTTAGATCAGGCTGACCGTTTGGAATTCAGAGTTCGAAGGAGTGTGAGAATAGCCAACAAGAAGGAGGTCAGAGGCCAAAGAAATGCTTTCATGTATTGCAAAGGGCATTAAGCAATGTGTTTGAAAACAAACCTTTGTCAGAACAACTTCTCGTTCAACCAAGCAGCTTGTGCTCGTTTGCCTGGATTATCTTACAGTTCTTGTGTCCATGGTCTTGGGATTTTGTCATGTTCTCATGGGACTTTGTTTCGTTGGTGCCTCTTGGAATCCTGCTTTATAATGCTATGTTTTATTGATCTTTGGAACATTACTTGCTTTTTAAACTTTCAATCTTTTACTTTTTAATAAACTACAAATACTTCAGCCTGTGTGCAGTTCTGGTGATTTCAGCAAGGTGAATCTATTCTGAGGTGCAACAGCAACATCCTTGCAGATGGCCAATTCTCTCACACCAGAAGCGACTTGCAGTTTCTCAAGTTGCTCCTGACACATTTTTTTTTACAGACCGTGTGGAAGTACACAAATCAAATCTTAGAGTTTTATAACACACATCAACTATTTCCAAGAACAGGAACATTCCCATTAATAATGTATGCATTCCAATTGGACCACCTGTAGTTGATTCAGCTACTTCTGTGAGAGAAAGGAGTGGGGCAATGATATATATTCAGCTAGTTGGAAACTCATTGAGGACTTTGATTTCCCAAACACCTCAGAAGAGAGGCAAAAAGTGACAGATTGGAAAGTAACACACACTCAAGTGGAATATTTGAACTGAAGACCAATATCAAACATTCAATTAGACTATATAACACAATTTTTGTTCCTGGATCATCCGGGGAGGCCCTGCTCTTGCTTCCGCCAACATTGCAAATGCTTTTGGCGGGGATGAGAGACAGGGCCTTATCGGCTGTGGCCCCCCGGCTATGGAATGCACTCCCAAATGAAATAAGATCGACTCCATCCCTCCTGGCCTTCAGAAAAAAAAATTAAAATCGTGGTTTTGGGACCAGGCCTTCAGGCAGCAGACGTAATTTGCATCATAATGGACATTGACGGGAATGGCGTTGCGGCAGATGACATTGTGACTTTGTTTTATTGTTTTAACTATTGTTATATGTATTGGTTTTAATGATTGTTTTGTATTTTATTGTGTTATATTATTGTAATTGTGATGCAGCGGTCTTGCACCGTTACTAATGTAAGCCGTCCTGAGTCCCCCTTCGGGGGTTGAGAAGAGACGGGGTACAAATGCCAGTAATAAATAAATAAATAATGTCATTTCCTAATAAGTTCTATTATAAAAACATGTAAAAAGTTTCTAAAACTGCAAAAACTTTGCTTTTGCAGGACATCCTGCAGCACATTTTGCGATTATTTTTCAATAAATATCTCATAGAGTCTCAACCAATTCAACATAGTTTGTAGCAGCCACGAAAACGAAGTTTTGGTGTATAACAACTACTTTCAAAGTACTGCACAAGTAAACGGGAAATAAAACTTTCAAACCAGGAAGGGATTTTTTTTCACATTTTGTTACATAGTGTTACTCCTCAGCAATCTCCAAGGCTCATTACCACATGATAGTGTGAACCAAATTTTTGGCAGCAGATGCTTGCTCAGTCTTCTGTCACAAGCCACTAGTCATATGACTGTATTTTATTTAGCAGAATATAGATCACAATGCAAAACGAAAACACACAAGGTACTCTGATAGCTTTTTCAGTCACTGGAAACTTTAAAACAATACCAGTGGGAGAACAAAGGTGTACTGAAAGAGTGTTAGCCATACCTGTAAGCCTTTCTTCACTATCCTCTGCTGGAGTATCTGAAGACATTTGGTGAAGTCTGTTAAATCTTGATTTGGGGTCTCTATGAGCTCACATCCCTATGGAGAGAAAATTAAATAATGATGATGATGATACTAATCTATATAAATAAAAATGTAATGTTCGTTTGTGGGATTAACATAACTCAAAAACCACTGGGCGAATTGACACCAAATTTGGAAGCAATACATAAGGCCAACAAGTGACTATCACTCATAAAAACACTGAAAAACACAGCAGAAGAGATTTTAAAAGCCAAAAAAATAAAAAATAAAAATTGCATTACAATGCATGCGCAAAACCACATATATAAACATATACACAAATATATACACATTTATTTATTTATTTATTTGCAGTATTTATATTCCACCCTTCTCACCCCGCAGGGGACTCAGGGCAGATTACAATGTACATATACTTGGCAAACATTCAATGCCATAGACACACAACATATAGAGACAGACACACAAAGGCTATTTAACTTTCCAGCTTTCATGAGGGTATTCTGGCCACCAGGGGAGCTGTTGCTTCACCGTCATTTGTGACACTGATGAAGTACTTCCTCACTCTTTGCATGCTTGCTGGAGATTTTTATGGCGATGTAAATTAGTTATATTAGCCTCCCCACATACGAGGTACCTACATTTCTTACTTGACAGATGTAACTGTCTTTCGGGCTGCAAAGGTCGACAGCAAGCTACACAAATTGGTTGGAAGCTCACTCCCACCCAGGCTGGCTTCAAACTCATGATCTTTCAATCAGTATTGATCTTAATGCAGCTGACTCGCAGCCAGCTGCGCCACAGTCCAAATATATAAACAACACACATACACACACATATACACACACACATATACATACACACAAAACACATATACACAGACTGGGCCACAGCAATGCATGGCAGGGGACAGCTAGTATTAATAATAAAACTTTATTCTTATGCCCCACCACTATCTCTCCAAAGGGACTCTGGGTAGCTTACATGGGGACCAAGCCCAGCATAAACAAGGGTTACAAAGTAACACACTTAAAACATATAGCAATAAAATATAATTAAACAAACAATAAAACCAAAACAATAAAAACATCTTTAAAAGACTTCAACCAACATCGTGATCACTGAAGGCTAACATCAATTATCCCATCACTTTTGTATTGAGCACAATTCAAAAGAGAATATGTTCTCAAGAAGAACAAAGTACTATCAGGAAAAGTCCAGATCCGAAGGATTATGTATTTTTAATTAGTCATGTGCATTGCATTTTAAAAGTAACATTCGGGAGGAAACCAAATGTGAGATAAAGGTAAATTGAACTGGTTGATGTGACATGATTTAGATAAACATGCAGCGTCATCAGATTTTTTGAGAATTGAATGTTTTGAGACTGTAGTGCATAATGTATGAAATTGTGACGCTGAAGCTTTCAGAGACATAGGTACCACATTTTCCTGCGTAGAAGATGACTGGGCGTATAAGACGATCCCAAACTTTTCCATCTAAAATTGAGTGTTTAGGATATACTCGCTGTATAAGACCACCCCTCTTTTTTTTGTAGTAGTCTGAGAGAGCTTTCTTCTCTCCAGGCTTGAGGGTCATCTTCTGCCAGAGGCTCATGGCAAGGGAGAGCCAGCATAGGCTGCTGCCGCTGGCAAATACTGCCCAGCGGTCTCCAGGGCAATGCGGCTTGCCAATCCTCCTCCCCGTGCCCTCCCTCCCTCCTGCTGTGCCTGAGAAGGAGGAGAGCTTTCTTTGCTCCAGGCTTGAGGGTGTCTTCTGCTGGAAGCTCATGGTGAGGCAGAGCCAGCACTAGGCTGGCGGTGCGGACAGCCCAGGGGTCTCCATGGCAATGTGGCTGGTCGCTCCACCTCCCCGTACCCTCCCTCCGCCCTCCTCCTCCCTCCCTCCTCAGGCCATGCCCTCTCACTGGAGCAGGGCACCTGAAGCAGCTGCTGCGCCCCTCTGGCACCGCTTGGCTCCATCTGTTGGGCTTCAGTCTCCCCGAGGGGTTCACCCACTCCATGCCCGCCTCAGCGGTGGCAGTGAAAGAGGAGGAGGAGGTGGCAATGTGAGGGAGCCACTTGGGAACGGAGAGGAGAAGGAGCCGCCTGGAAGACTTGAGGCTTTTGCTTGGCACCCTTGCCGAAGTAAGCACTCACCCTTTAAGCAACATTTACATATCCCTTCCAAAATACTTAATATAATAAATTTTATACCCAGCATATTAGACGACCCCCGACTTCTGAGAGGATTTGCCCGGGTTAAAAAGTCATCTCATATGCTGGAAAATACAGTAATTTGGTAGTAAGCAAGTCCTTTTTGGGGCTTTTTTCTTTATTCAGCAAAAAGATTGAGTAATTAAGGGATGGCAGGGCAAGATTAAAGATTAAATATGACAACAAGATAAGTCTATGAGAAGTTTTACAGTTCTGAATATATCATTAACTTGAGTTATGTTGTACTGGCATGCAAAGATATAGGTATGGGTAAGCTTAATGGAATGGGGGTATTAATATTAGGATTTCAAGTATAGTGGGATGGAATAATGTATACATTATTGTGCTGGCACGGTAGTGCCAGGTGATTTTAACCTCTTTTTCTTTCACTGCTAGTTTGCATGAATCTATTTAAGCCATGCATTTTGCAATAAGGTAGCTTCCCTCAGGTTGCAATCAAAGGGTCAACAACTTGGCAATCATCGTTAGAATCTTTAGACCCGCCCCTTTTCCCAGGGTTTTGGAAGGAAAGGAGGACTTTGTTCAGTCTCACTGTTTTGGAGCCTAACAGCAGGATGTGTGGGTTTCTCTCTCCCATCTGCACAAAGGCTTCACTTCTCACAGCTTTTTCTGGGGGTTAAAGAAATAGATCCACAGCTCTGCTGGGGAATAAAGAAATAGTTCCTACAGCCTTTGTGGAGAAACTAAAGGACACCTTTCAGCTTGGCAGATCTACAGGAACCTTGCCTGTTAAGGGACCACTTGGGCTATCCATAAAGCATCTTGGAGCCGGGAGTAGGAGCCTCACGCCAGCAAGGTAAAGAGAGATTGCCCAGGGAGGGGTCAAAGGTTTCCCCTAACCTTTAAAGGAACAGTTTACCACCAGTTGCCTGCCCCTTGTTGGCAGATTGAGGAAGCTACCAGTTTTCCAAGGTTATAAAGTGTTTAATTCATTTGTTTGAAGATTTAAGCCCAAATAAAGAACTTTGTTGAATTTATCTTGAGCCTCAATAGAACTTTGTGTTGGGAAATCTAAAGGGCCCTTCAGCTGAGGCACCCCTGCCAAGAACCACCGAAAAAGGAGGTGTAGCTGTTATGTAATCTTAATGTGAGGAGTAATTAAAAATCAAAACAATTTTTCCAATTGTTTCGAAATTGTTTCGTAATTGTTTCGTAATTGGTTCGAAATTGTTTCGAAATTGTTTCGTAATTGGTTCAAAATTGTTTTAAAATTGTTTCGTATTTGTTTCGTAATTATTTCCGTATGTCTGGTGCAAGTTTTATAGTTGTTGTTTGTTTTATCAGTGATAAAAAATAAATTATCACACCAACAGTCAACAACAGAGGGAGAGGGAAGCTTCAGAAGTTCCCCCTGTCCCATTTGGAGGTTTTTTAGCATATTGCGCAATCGCGTCCGCCATTAACGAATCGATTCGAAATTAACGAAATTTCGTAAATAACGAAATTTTGAAATCTCAAAATTTCGGAAGTATTTAGAATTTGGAAACGCTAGCGCCCCCTGGAAACGAATCGAGTTTAGAAATTTTTTCCGTGGTTACCCAGCCCTAGTATTTTGCTGAGGCCAAGCCTTTACCTATATCACTATTGACTACAATATGGATGGGATGGTTAAAGAGATATCATTTTTCTATAGTTTAGTGAGTTTGTTTTCAGTACTTTTCAAAATGCAAGTCTCCTTACATTGCACTTAGTTATAGGTGTCAAGGTTATATTTCAATGTACAATATACAATTTCTTAATTCGGAGCTCAAACAGTCCCTAAGCTTCTCCCAAAGAGCTGAGCAAGGAATAGTGAAGTATGTCCATTATATAAAATCCTCATTCAAAGAGCTTTCAAGGATACAAAACACCTATAGAGGATCATAAATTATAATAAGGACTTCAGCTGCTAGATTTAGAGGATACTCAACAATACCATTTCAAGGTCTCTTGAAGGGCGTCATAGTTCTATCTGTTTCAATGATTGATTTCATACCCCTTAAATTTTTACATAGTGACTGATGAAAAGTTATCAACTGATCAAAATACTCCATATTACAACTTTGAACATACCCTTTACAGCATGAGAAAGGTTAATAAAACAAAGGTTGACAGTTTTAAAAATACTGGTCCAGAAATGCTAAAAAATAACATTTGCAATAGCTAAATATTAGGCTTGGGCGGTTTCGTTCGTTAATTTCGTAATTCATTATTAATTCGTATTTAAATTAGCTTACGATCCAATATTGAGCCATGCAGGAATAGTGTGAGGAGTAATTAAGAATCGAAACAATTTTTCCAATTTATTTCGTAATTATTTCGTAATTATTTTCGCATGTCTGGTGCAAGTTTTATAGTTGTTGTTTGTTTTATCACACCAACAGTCAACAACAGAGGGAGAGGGAAGCTTCAGAAGTTCCCCCTGTCCCATTTAGAGGTTTTTTTAGCATATTGCGCAATCGCGCCCACCATTAACGAATCGATTCGTAATTTTACGAAATTTTGTATATTTCGAAATTTTTAAAAGGAAAATTTCAGAATTCTTAAAAAAACAAAACGCAAGGGCCCCCTAAAAACAAAACGAGTTTAGAACCAATTTTTTCCGTGGTTACCCAAGCCTACTAAATATAGCCTTGCAGAATTCATTATACTACATTAATAACATTTTTCCTTGAGAATTAAGAATATTTCCATCAATCTCTCCAGTGCATTAGAATGGTCACAGTATATAGTTCATCTAGCTTCTGTGTCAATTTCTGAAGATTAGTTCATCCTGCAATTTTGTCTCCTTTTTAAGTGTAGCCCGTTCTATCCTTAGTTAAAACTATACTCATCATGGTATACAGTAGTTCTGTTCAAGTAAAGAAGTGCCTTTTATAAATTAATGGCTGGGTCTTGATATCAACAGTTCTTGATCCAAACAACTGTATCATAATAAATGGACTAATCAAGGGAAACACGACAACTATTGGAAATTGCATAACCTATTAAAAATAAGTGCACCATAACCTTATTCCTGTTACAAACCAGCACGAAGTTTAAGATCATCTGGAGAGGCTCTGCTCTCGGTCCCATCGCCATCACAAATACGACTGGTGGGGATGAGGGACAGGGCCTTCTCAGAAGTGGCCCCCCGTCTGTGGAACTCTCTCCCCAGAGACATCAGAGACCACCTCCCTCCTCTCTCCCTCAGAAAGGAACTTAAGACTTGGTTATGGGACCAGGCATTTGACTAGTGATTAGCAGCAAATGGAAAGACTACCTAGGCAACCCATGACAATGAATTGGCCCAGAAGAACAATTTTAACCAACATAAACTTAACAGCATTTCAGTGGAAGACCCCAGGGGCCTTTCTGCCATGCAGGAAAAACACAGTCAAAACACTCACAACAGATGGCCACCCAGCCTTTGTAATGATGGTAATAATAATAATAATAATAATAATAATAATAATAATAATAGTCAATAGTAGTAAACTGCTTCAAGTGCAAAAGACAAAGAGTAAATACCGTAAAAACACAATCCAGAGCAGAAGAGAAAACTAGCGAAAGAAGGCTCTTCATGGACAGTTTCTGGGAAAAATTGAAAGCCAAATTGACAAAGAAAAAACATAGCTGTGGCTCACAAATGGAACTCTGAAAAAGGAGACGGAGGGCCTGATTCTGGCAGCCCAAGAACAAGCCATTAGAACCAAAGCCATCAAAGCCAGAATTGAGAAGGCAACGACAGATCCCAAGTGTAGAATCTGCAAGGAAGATGATGAAATAATAGATCACATCCTCAGCTGCTGCAAGAAGATCGTGCAGATAGATTACAAGCAGAGGCATAACACAGTTGCTCAGATGATTCATTGGAACTTGGGCCACAAATACCATATGCCTGCGACAAAGAACTGGTGGAATCACAAGCTGAAAAACTTAACAGAAAATGAACACGTCAAGCTACTCTGGGAAATCCGGATTCAGACAGACGAGTTTTGGAGCACAATACTCCTGACCTCACGATTGTGTTAAAAAACAAAGTATGGATTGTCAATGTTGCAATCCATACTTTGTGACAACAGGATTGAAGAGAAACAACTGGAAAAGATGACACGATATGAGGATTTAAAGATCGAACTGCAAAGACTCTGGCACAAACCAGTAAAGGTGGTGATCGGCACACAGTGGTGATCGGCACACTGAGTGCAGTCCCTAAAGACCTTGGCCTGCACTTAAACACAATCGGCGCGGACAAGATTACCATCTGCCAGCTGCAAAAGGCCACCTTACTGGGGTCTGCACGCATTATTCACCGATATATCACTCAGTCCTAGACACTTGGGAAGTGTCCGACCTGTGATCCAATACCACAACCAGCAGTGTCTCCTGTGGACTTATCTTGTTGTGTTTCAAATAATAATAATAATAATAATAATAATAATAATAATAATAATAAAAACCTCAGGGGGCATCCAGTTCAACTCCCTTCTGCCATGTGGGGAAAGCACAATCAAAGCACTCTCTGAGCGGTGGGAGGGAAATAGGATTTTGGAAGCAAGGAAGGCGAGGAGAAAAGATCTGGGCAGTGAGGAAAGTGAGGAAAAAGGCTTTTGGCAGCAAGGGAGCTGGGGAGAGTATCAGGAGCAGGAAAGAGGAGGGAGAGCTTGGCGGGGGGAGGAGGAGGGAAGAGCGAACTACCGAGCCCCTTGGTAGGCTTCGTGGAGCCCCAAGGGTTTTGTGGAGCACACTTTGAGAATCACTGATTTAGGGTTACTAGACATTACCAAATATGTCCTTAATCTGAAATAAAAATGGCATGGTGGCA